AGAATAGCATAACTAAAAGGGAGATAGATGCTTGACATATCGAGGCTTTCAGAACAAACTAGGCCAACTGCATTATCTGTTCCAAGTCCCAAATTCAGTGAAAAATATATCAATTATTTTTATGTTACTATACTTACTTTATTAAATAAGTTGTCTATTTTCCCAACTCCTATTCCCACCTGCCACTAGGCACATGTATGGATTTGACTAAATAAAAGTAGTTGAAGTAGCTGAAATCTGAAAGAATAGCTGGAAATAATTTCAGTGGTAAGACAAGCATCAATGGAAGCATAAAATGGATATGTTTGAGTAGAATTTTTATTCAAAATATGGTTATTTTTGGTGGGTCAGTGGTAGAAAAAAATAATAAAAATATTGGTGAGTAATATATTATTTTTATGACAGCCATAAAAGACTCTGAATAATGATCCCTGCCCCTTTTAGCAAATAAGAATTTGCCTAGAATAATGGTGCTTGTGCCCATCATAAGGAAAGATAATTCTGTGTTTGGGATATAATTTAATGGGCTAAAAAAGGCAAGGCAGATCAGTTCTGATACATAACATTTTGCAAGTCAGAAATCTAAGTCATCAATAAAAAGTTTCAATAAAAATATAATAAAACATGTTATCTGTAGAGGAACTAGATTGCACTAGCAACTATTGAATTTGTATAGAAGAAAATAAAAGTGGTTTCATTAACTATTAGAAAGTAATATGGTAACAATTTTATGGAAATTATTTGTAGTAAATATAGCGAATTTAATGAATATGGTAATGATTATACCATTAGATCAAAGTTATGTATAGCACAAAAGATGTATATTTTCCATATTCAGTCATAAAGAGATGTTAGATTATGAAATCACTTGGCAATCAACAATCATGAGGTTTTTTTTTTCTCTTTTGGATAATCACAAAGTATCCTACAATAATGACAAAATGATAGTCACAGCATCTTTTAGAGGATATAATGTTTTTCTAAGTAATGTGCAATTATAAGGGATATTTTAATATTCTTTGTGGTCTACCCCAGCCAGGCTATGTGTGGTGTTACACTTTTCAGTGTTATACTCTTGCTTAAAGGAGGTGACAAACTGTAGAGTAACCCCTCAGAGACAACAAAACTGACTTGTACAGATAAATTTGCTTTGGTGAAAAGATATTTAAACTTAAATGTGAATTATGAACACTGTTTCTTTCTCTACATCTATATTAATACCTTATAGCTAAATGCACTTGGGTTTTGTGAAGTTTAGTGACAAGCTTTGTATAATGACATCACTTTAGAAAGTTATAAAATACTAAGGTATCATGAATAAAAAACAAACAGGCAACAATAATGGGTAAAGCAATCTATTCAGAAACCATGTATTAAGTACCTTTGTGTATAGAGTGTTGTGATAGTTGAAGCAACTTAAAAAGATAGGTTTTCTTTCTCCTAGGAATATATACTCTCAGACAGACTGATAAAAATGACATATGTAATAAGACTTAAAAAAAGCATATTAAATATATCTTCAGTGTAAGGTATCTTTTTACATCTGTGATGCCTTCCCCCATATAAATATAAAAGAAGCTCAGAAAAGTAGAAAAA